AAATCTTTGTTCTTGCTGTTGCTGTTGCTGTTGTTGTTGTGTCTTCAAGACATTTTGGACTTATGGCAACCCTAAGGAAAACCTACAATAAGATTTTCTTGCAATATTTGTTCAGAGAGGGTTTGTTGCCATTGCCTTCCTCTGAGGCCGAGAGGGTGTAATTTGCCCAAGGTCACCCTGTGGAATTCTGTGACTGGCCAGGGATTTGAACTCTGATCTCCAGAGGCCTAGTCCAACATTCAAACCACTGCACCACACTGGCTTTCTGGAGTCTAGCCCTGGAACAATAAAGGTTAAAGATGGCTCTTCCAAAAATGCTCAAGCATACAACCACACGGTTCTGACCATCTCTATAAACAGGGGACATGTCAGCAGAAAATCCAGGAACAGGAGTTCCCAGCACTCCATCTCTACTCCATTTCTCCAGTTTGTTAAAGAATTCAAGGCACAATCACAATCAGTTTTGTCTCTATTTCTTGATGAGGAGAAGAATTACTTCAGCCGCATGCTTTGGGCATCATGACTCCTTATAAAACTTTGGTAGTGAAGTTACTCAATGTTTTTTGTTATCACCAAATGTTATGCTCCTGTACCTAAATACACTAAAGGCACCAGATCCATTTTGATCTTGAAAGCTAAGCAGCATCATACCTGGTTAGTATTTGGATGGGAGCAGGACCACAATAAGGTTTTTGTAGGCCCTAGGCATTCTTGTATTTGGCTCCTTGCCTCGCCTTGATGTACTACTAGAGACAGAAAAAACAAGGTAATAATTTAGATGTATGGGTTACTTGTGCTGCACATAGCTTGAATTGATTGGAGTATTTACTGCAGAATGTTGTATTGAAGCTTTGAATTATTTTGCAGAAAATTTATTTGTTTTTTGCAGCTTCACCACAGAGATGGCTATAGTTAAAAGAACATATGAAGAAAAATACAAATATATTACCCAGCTTATATGAAACTAGGTAGTCAGCTAGAGATGATGCTCCTAAAGCATTTTATGATAATTATGACAGAATTCAGAATGCATGACTAAGTATAATTCATTGTGAAGTACAACCACTAAGTGCTAAATATTAAGCAAAAAATATTTTTTGTTAAAAAACATTGAACATGTTTAAAAAGTGTTAATGTATGTTATTTAGAAAAAAACATTTTTTCAAAATATTATTATAAATATAAATTTATAGCAGGCTGGCATTGAATTGTGCACCTTAATTAACCATTACTTTTATCTTTGTGATTTATTATAATCTTCATTTTCAAGAATTGTTGCATAAAGCCATTTCTATTTTTATTTAAATCTTGTTTCTAATTTCTATTTCATTTTTAATTAAAATATAAAGTATCTTTATTTTGAAATTTTGGTTTGCTTCCCAATTCCTGTGAAAATTTTTGTTTATCCTGGTTTCGTAGGCCCTAAAATATTTGTAGGCCCTAGGCGCTGTGCCTAAAGTGTCCAATGGATAAAGTGGCCCTGGATTGAAAAATGCCAACAAATATGAGATGCTGTAGGCTATATTTCAGAGGAAGGAACTAGCAAAACCTTGCCTAAGAAAATCCTATGAAATGCATGGGTTGCCATAAGTCAACCGATGACTTGACAGTACATACATACACAGCTTTTGCTGTTTTTGTTGTTTTGATGCAATGATTGTACCCCATCTTTTGTATTTTTAATAGCAAGGGATATTTTTAAAAAATTGTTAAGAAATACATGTGTGGTGCCTTGCTGCCAGCAATGCTAGAAAGGTAATTTTGGAAATTATTAATGGTGGTCCAATGTCCTCTTTCTTTCTTTCTTTCTTTCTTTCTTTCTTTCTTTCTTTCTTTCCCATTGCTACCACAGCTAAGAAGAAAGATGCATCACAAGGGAGAAGCAAATGGGATTGGATTAGTACTGGCTGTCACTATGTAGTGTTTGTTGTGGTTTCAGGACCAGATGAAGACTGTGGCTATACTGAATGAGGCTGTCAGTGGCACTTTTTCTTCTTAATCTGTTGTGCTTGTTTATGTGATCAATATAGCTTTATAATCTTCCTGGGCCTTTGTGCCGATGGGCATTTTCACACGGGGCTTTAGGCGGACGCTAGCCTACCTCCGT